TGTTGACTGACACTTCACAGACTCGGCCGTGCCTGTGCAGAGCTGCTGGGCAGCAGAGGTCAGTAACATTCTTTGAGAGACGTGATGACCCTGTTCATGACAATCTTTCTACAGGAGCTTCTGTTGTGATCAACGATCAATTTGGCGATGACAAGGTAAGATGATGCGGAATCGAAGATTAGCACAGGGTAATGTCTGACTTTCGACAGAGCCTTGTAGCCGTGGCGGAAGCCATCAAAAAAACCGGCGGCAAAGCCATTATCAACACCGACAGCATCCTTGACGGTGGGAAGATTGTTGAGACCGCAGTACAGAGCTTCGGAGGACTGCACATTCTGATAAATGCTGCTGGCTCCGCTGCGCAGTCGAAGAGCTTTGAGCATCTGGACGACGCCGAGTGGTCTGCCGAAACAGAGCTTCATATCAAAGGGAACTTTTTGGTAAGTACCCAGGAATGCAGGTCATTAAGCGTTGGCTGACCATGTTCAGACCACGAATGCAGCATGGAAGCACTTCCGGAACCAAAGCTTCGGTCGCATAATCAACGTTTCGTCCCTCGTAGGATTGCACGGATCGTCAGGTCAAGTAGTTTCTGCAGGTTTGTGATGCTTCCTTGACCAGGCGCGGAACTTGGGCACTGATAATCATTCGTCATGCAGCAGCTACACATTCGCAAGTCGGATACAGTTACACCCTCGCCAAGGAAGGCTTGAAGAAGAACATCCTCGTCAATGTAGTCATACCGATAACCACACCCGGTTCCGCTGCGCCGAACTTCGATCAGTCAGCTTCCGTTGTGGCTTTCCTGGTTCATGAAAAGAACAAGAAAGAAAGCGGCACGTGCTTCCAGATCAGCGACAAACAGGTGGCTCGACTTCGTTGGCAGCGGTCGGGTGGCTTGCTGTTACATGCAGACGATACGATGACTCCTGCAGTGTTGCTGAAGAACTGGAAGCAAGTGACCAACTTTGATAAGCCCGACTATGCGTCCGGTCCACGGGACTTTCTGGATCTTCAGAAAAAGGGGGCGCAGTTGCCGCCGAATGAAAGCACAGATCCAATTTCTTTCAAGGGTCGAGTCGTTTTGATCACCGGCGCTGGTTCAGGGTACGTGATCTAGTGCCCTCTGCATCCCTTTCCCTAACCATTCAATAGCCTCGGTCGAGCGTATGCCCTTCATTTCGCGTCTCTTGGCGCATCTGTCATGGTCAACGATATCGCTGATCCATCGGCTGTCTTGGAGGAGATTCGAGACTTGGGTGGCAAAGCGGCATCAGTCATTGGTTCGGCTGAAGATGGCAAAAGAAATGTGGACGCCACTATCCGTGCCTTTGGAAGAATCGACGTTGTTGTAAACAATGCTGGTATTCTGAGAGACAAGGCTTTCCACAACATGTCAGACACGCTATGGGACCCAGTACTCTCGGTCCACCTAGGAGGAACTTACAAGAACATACGAGCTGCCTGGCCTCACTTCGTGAAGCAAGGCTATGGACGAGTCGTCAACACAACTAGCGTGACCGGTATCTACGGGCAGTTTGGCCAGGCCAACTATGCTGCTGCAGTAAGTTATATCCTTCAGCTGTTCTTGAGTCTCTTTAATCTTTAGACTGCAGAAATCCGCCATCATTGGTCTTACGCGCGCTCTGGCCCTCGAGGGCGCAAAGCACAACATCCTGGTTAATGTCATTGCCCCGAATGCAGGCACCAACATGACCAAGACCATTCTCAGCGACGAAGTATCAAAGCTCTTCCAGCCAGCCCATGTGGCACCGATTGTTTCCGCACTAGCCAGCCACGTCACAGCGCCAAGCATCTCTGGAGGAGTGTTTGAAGCGGGAAGCGGGTGGTTCGGAAACACTCGCTGGGAGGTCCTCAAGGGGCAATCCAAAGAGGTCAAGAGCTTGGATGAGGCAGCGAACCTGATTTCAAGCCTCACAGACTCGTCGAAGTCCTATCCCACAACCATCGAGGCGAATATTGCTTTATTTAACCAACAAGATGGAGCACCAAAGGTATGAAATCTGCGCGACACCGTTTGAAATCTTACTAAGGTGATTAGCTGAACTCTGGCGACGTGATTCTCGCCAATATTCGCACAGCACAGAGCACTGCTTCCAAGGCTTCAAAATTTGTATACACACAACGCGATCTCGTCTTGTATGCACTCTCCGTCGGCTCTAAGCATACCGAGCTTCCACTCGTATTTGAAGGACACAAGGATTTTACCCCCTTGCCAGTTTTGGACTCATCCCTTTCTTCACGCCGAAGCGCATTACAAGATGGATGATATCATGTCCAAGTACGACCTGAGATTGCTTCTTCACGTGGATCAATTTCTTGAGATTCGTTCTCCGATTCCCCTTTCGGGAATCCTCTCAACGTACCCGAAGCTGGTGCAAGTAGTCGATAAGGGCAAGGATGTACTGGTTGTCCAAGGCTTCACAACTGTCGACGAAAACGGCAATGAGATCTTCTACAACGAAACGACAGTACTTGTCCGCAAGGGCGGTGGTTTCGGTGGAGACGCTCAGCTCCGTGATCGAGGCCCAGCTACGGCTAAAAACGCACCTCCCCCCAGAGCACCAGACTACGTGGTGGAAGAAAAGACGTCAGAGGGTCAAGCTGCATTGTACCGACTCAATGGTGACCTGAACCCTCTTCACATTGATCCAGACTTCAGCGCAAAAGGAGGCTTCCCAACGCCTATTTTGCACGGCTTATGTTCGCTTGGTGTGGCCGGAAAGCACTTGTTCCAGAAATACGGTTCTTTCAAGAACCTCAAGGGCAAGTTCACCAGCCCTGTCCTCCCGGGTCAGACACTCAGGACTGAGATGTGGTTGGAAAACGGCAAGGTAATTTTCCAAGTTGTTGTCCTTGAGACGGGAAAGAATGCTATCAGTGGTGGTGCTGTTACACTTGATCGGGCCATCGCGGCCCGTTTGTAAATTCTGTAACCATAAGCTGTGGAGGATGGTTAAAGTTCGTAAGGGGTGGACCACAGATTAGCGCACTCCCGTTTCCTCCATGAATAGCATGTGATATCGGAATCATGAGGTGTGAAATGACCTATATGGCCACATGGGAGAGGACTTTTGACGGTTCAAACTACTTGGACGACCTACAGGACAATGCTTGGGTCATGAGAATTTGTCCGAGACTTTGTAGGCCTATCATAGCTCCACTTATTGTCGTGGCAGGAACTTGAGTTGTATACACGGTAATGAGTAATTTGTTCAATCATTCCTTACGAGCCGGACCGTATCTAAGTGGCTGAGCTTTACTACTTCTCAGTCCAGCCTTAGGCACCCATTGGATCGAGACGAGCAACAGAAAACCAATCCTAGCGCCTGCCCGCCGACTATCATGAGAACATTGAATCATCAAGGCCCGACCAGATGATACTCTCTAGCATGTCATAATCTGTCTTACCGGGAGAAAGTTCGGCAAGATGCCACAAACCATCTTCTTCGTCCGTTTGGCTGAGTGGTGGGAGAGAAATGTTGGGATCGAGCCACTCATTCGTGGTTGGTTGAGCCCGGGGTGTGTTGCCGTCAGATACAGATGAGTCCATATCGGACTTCGGCGAGCCTCCAGTACACGAGTCTGGCAGCGGACGTACTGTAGCGGGCTGTCCCAAGCTCTCTGGACTGGAAGAACTTCGAATCGTAACAGGCAGGTCTGCTTCATCGGGGAGGTTACCCCGGGAGAGACTCAGGTCGATCGTCAGAGCCAGTCTCATGTAACATCCTGACTGGAACGCATCCGTACGGTCAACCAAGGTGGTGGTTGTGGAGATCTCGGAGGATTCCGCCAACTGCGAATCTCGTTCTTGGTTAACGATGACTCGAATCGCCCTCGCAAGACCATCGACACCTTCATAGAGGCGGCTATACGTCTTCATGGCTTCGGAGAAGATGCGAGCTTTAGGGCTTGTTGGGGTCGTGTTGCTGTTCAGTGCCAGGGGCAATGCAATACACGGGACACTGAAAGGGTCAGTGACGAGCGATTTGCAGCAGTCTGTACATGTCACTTACACGCTGACAGGGAGATAGCGATCTAGGTTGAGCTCGGTTAGAGTTGCCAGACACTTCCCTATGGAGACAGTTGACTCTTGCACTTCTTCTCGAAGATGCATGACATCGCGCGGGACTGCGCCTTCATTATCGTAGCACGATAGCATCAACCGATTGGCAAAGGCAATTCTTGCAGAGCTACAAGATGTTAGGTTGGCGCACGGATGCAATGGGGTAGGAAGGAGGACTGACAAGTAATAAATGTGTTGCAGGTTTGTGAACAAGGCGATGGATGGATGGTCGCGGGATTGATTGAACGGATCACTGAGACATTCGACTGTCTTCCCGTGCCATCGATCCAGTGTTTTTTTGCTCAACGAAATCTTGCTGTTCTCTTCAACCAATCCAATTTGTCTTTTAGAACCGGCGTCGCTGTTGTCGAAGGGGAATAGCAGTGCAGACATAGCCACAACCTGGGCGCACATTTCGGCCAAGCCCAGGAAAGCCACAACGAGTTGCTTCTTCGTCCGGGGATCGTATACCCTCGAATCGTGAATCTCGTCTTTGAAGTCGTCGAATGTCAACGAGAAGGTTGTGTTGGAGTCGAGGCCGAGACTCTGACAGGACCGCCGTGACGAGATTGCCAAGGTTCCAGCTCGAATGATACAACAGACCCAAAGCTTCCTCAGAGACATCTGGACCTCGCTTGACGGACCGGGCTTAGCCGGGTTGAAGTTCCACTGATGAGCCCTGACTGATCTTGCGTTCTCGATGGCCGCCCGTAGCCAGCCTGTATTGGGTTTGATTGCCGCTTCTTCGAATGGCGGTGTCCAGTATGATAACAGCAGTGCAGCCTGGGCCATGTGAAGTTGAGATTTCTCTGTCTCGAAGTCGTAAAGCATCTTCGCCCGCCCATACATGATCCTGCGAGCAGCACGAACAGAACTATAGCCCAGCTGCTCAAGTGTGTTGGCGGAAACGAAGCTGCAGGCAGTAAAGAGCATCGCTTGGAGCACGAGCAAGGAGAACCGTTCCGGGGATTTCCCCGAGTCGACGCCGTGATACATGTCCCAAAAGGATGATTCGTTGACCAAGGGAAAGAACGGATGCACATAGCGAAAGTACTGCTGAAGGATTTCATCAAGATACACACGAGATGGCACTCTTAGACATTTCTTGAGCTCCAGAAAATTGATGTCCTCCGGGGGGAGGCGATGCAGGTTGGAAACTGTGAGGAACGGATATGCGGATATGGGCACCGTCGTGGTGAATGCACGTTCGCTGTGCCGAAACTCGTGCCATGGCGAAGGCTCATCTCGGTCTCTTGGAGGTGGTCCGTCATCTCGGGGTGCAGTATCTGTTGCCGGCGAGAGGAGGTCGAGTCAAGACTATGTGTGTTTCTGAAACTCCCGTGTGCTGCTGGATGTCGGGTCTGGGGCTTCGTGGCATGTCAAAGTTTGTAGCCCCATCTGGGCGCCTATTTCGAGGTTTTCGCAGATTGGAACGGTGTTGCTCAAGAAGAGCTGCCGTAGATGATGAGTAGTTCGACTCGCGCGACCATCTGCGAAGCATATTGGTTAATGGATGCAGTGCTCAATGGCAGGCGTCTGCTCACCTTCGATTCGACCGCTCCGGAACCACGCAGGTCTCGTGGTCGAGCCGACAATTAGAGCATGGGCTGCCGGTCAGGGCGACATTGCACCTGACTTTGCGCTGACGACAGACCAAGCAGGCCTTGGAAGCCCGTGTGCGTGTCTTCTTGGGACGATTGTCGGCTTCGGTGGGTTGTGCAGAAGACATCGCTGTTGTCAAATGGAAAGCTGGGGAGAAGGGGTTGATTGATTGAGCCTCCACTGGTGACGGTGGCGACGCTGGCGCGCCTGTGGTCATTAAATGGGACAACATGGAGACTCTAGGGGGAGGGGGGATGGTTGCTCCCCACATGCGGGCATTATTTGGGCGAAGCTCCAGACCTATCCGGCCGGTCGGCAGTCGTGTGTGGGCCTAAGATGCATGGGTAGAGCCTAGGGTAGCGTATATTCATGCTCAGGTGGGCTTCGCAACCCCACTCATTAGGTCTGGGGTAGTAAACTAAGGAGGGTGTGGAGGGCTAGCAACACTGGGGATCGTGGAGGAGCAGGCGTGCCATTCTAGTGCCTGGAACACTCGGGGAAACACGCCTCACACCCTTAGCGGGATTACTGATTCCTCACATCGGCAATTGACAGCGGCTACGGCTTCCCCGCCGCGTCACGAAAGTCGACATTGATGTGCTGATTCACTGCTCGATTGTGCTGACCATCTAGGTACCTATGATACACTCGTGTTCCATCTCCCCGCATTTCATCGCTCCTGATTTCATTGCTCTGACACCAACAGGCTGGCCATTCCCAATCCCTGGGACCCCAATTAGTCTAAAACCTTGCTGTAGGAGATCTGGGGTAACACTCACAGTCCCGACGCACATAGACGTCACGGCGATCTTGCCACCAGTACGTCTGAGCTCCGACAGTGCTGTCACTATCTGACGGGCACCGGTGCAGCCAAGCGGATGGCCAAAGGCGCTATAGCCATGTTAACGAGCCGCCGTTGAGATTGGAAAGCACAACATACATTGCTCCGCCGCGGGGGTTGAGTCGAGCGGGATCAAGCTGAAGTGTCTCGGTGCAGTAGACCAACTGTGTTTGGCAACACCATTAGAAGTGTTTCAGCCACAACGAAGATGTGAGGAGCCTACCATGGACGCGAAAGCCTCGTTGATCTCGAAGATATCAACGGCTTCCTTTGAAAGCCCAACTTTGCCTAGGAGCTTGGGAATCGCATACGCGGGCCCCACGCCCATGACACGGGGCTCGACCCCGACCACCGTGGACAAAACAAACTTGCCGAGAATTGGCTGCTGGAGTCTCTCAGCAACTTCGCGGCGCATGATCAATACCGCGGCAGCTCCGTCGGTAATCTGCGAGGCGTTACCGCCTGTGGTCGTTGCGGGAGGCCACTGAGGGAAGGCCGATCGAATCTTGGAAAGACCCTCCTTTGTCGTGCCGGCGCGGATGCCGTCATCCTTGTCTACCGTCACTTGCTGGATTTCACCCGTCTTGGGGTCCTTCCAGCTTGTGGTGACAGGCACAATTTCATCTTCCATAAATCCAGCATTCTGGGCAGCCTCAGCCTTCTGGAACGAAGCCGCCGCATACTCATCTTGTCTTTCTCTGCTGATGTTGAAGTCTCGTGCAACATTCTCTGACGTCCAAGGCATCAAGCGGGTCGCGTCCTCAACGAGAGGATTGGCCATGAACTCATCAGGAAACTTGGGAGCGCCATTATCAGGATTGATACTCATGCTCTCGGCACCGACAGCGATTCCAATGTCAATGCTGCCCAGCGCAACCTTTTGAGCGACGGACTCAACCGCAAGGAGGCCGGATGAACACCAGCGACTGACGTGGGAAACGGCTGTCGTCGCGGGAAATCCAGCAGCGAAACCTGATGCGCGCAAAGTGTATGGCGCGTCCTTGTGGAGAACATTACCCAGTACAATTTCCTCGACCAGTTTTGGGTCGATTCCGGATTTCTTTACCGTGCTCTGCAATTGTTAGTAGCGTCCGAAGATTTAAAAGCCGATACATACCTGCAGGACAGATACCAAGAGACCTTCCAGCGGAGTATCCTTGAGCTTTCCTTTCTTGGCTTTGGTCAAGGGCGTTCGGACTGCGAGTGTGATAACCTGATGAAGTGAGAATGAGTCGTGATCGTCAGATCTCTGATACACTGACCACATCCTTCGGATCCTTGGCCTGGAGCCGTGCCAGTGCCGCCCGGTCCGCACCTCCTGGGAGCTGCGCTGTCAGGCCTTGAATTCGTTGAGCTGCTGTAGACATTGTGGTTCGACGATGATTCTCAGAGTTGCGAATCAACTAATTCCTCAGGGACATGAAGCTGATAAATAAGGCTGTGGGTGCCGTCGTAATTTGCCGACACGTTGCCGTGCAGCATCCCGACGGTCCGGGCTCGGTAGGCCCCACAAAGGAGACCGAACTTCGGCATCTTCATCCTAGATTTGCCGAGCTTGTCAGATCTGGGGATCGTAGCACTTTGTATTTCAATTGGCCAATGGACCAACAAATATGCATCTCGAACACAGCTTCCGCAACATCTCACACCCACCCATCCTTCATTCACATTACCAACATCAGCGTCATGCCTCCTGCATTACGAGTCCCCGCGGAGAAGGTCGCGATTGCGGCCTCTGCTGCGGCAGCGACTGTGGTCGGCGCTCTGTACGCCAATAGTCGATATGGGGTTTCCTACGACATTAACCAATTGCTCGCCGAAAAGTCATTCCGAAAGCGATTCCAGAAGCGAGTCGATACATTGGGTAATGATGTGTCTGTTTTCCACATGTTCGAGCTGGCAGACCAGCGGGCAGAGGCTCTTTGGTTTGAGGGCCGCACCTGGACCTATGGAGAGGTTCTCGCTGGTGAGTCTTGTCGCGATCAATCGGCCGTCCGCGATAGCTGACATGATTCTCTGCAGAGGCAAGCAAATTGGCAGCTATTTTCCATCGCCAGGGAGTTTCCAACGGGGATGTCGTCGCAGTTTTTGCTACCAACTCTCCTGAGATGGTATTTACCATAGTCGCAACATCCAAACTTGGGGCTGTGCCAGCGTTGATTAACACTGCCCTTCAGAGTACGTGCAAATCAGATACTTGCAGCCACGGTGACCTGGACGCGGATTAAGAGCTGACATGACCTAGACCAGACGCTTCAACATTGTCTTAAGATTGCGAACGCGAAAATCCTAGTATGCACGCCAGACGTCGCGCCGGCAATCGCAGACCTCAAGGGTGAGGGCACGCCATCCGTTGTTTTCTCTCTCAATCTTTCCTCCTTTCCGCCACTACAACTATCACCGGACATCTGCACCGCGTCAGATATCACGCAACTGAGGTATGAAGATCTTGCGGCAATCAAGGACGACACTGTCCTTCGCCCGAAACGTGTTCTCAAAGACGTAGGCGCCTTGGTTTATACCTCTGGTACAAGCGGAAAGCCAAAGGCTGTGGCTGTAAAGAACTTCTTGCTCGTTCTTGTTTCGACCCCAGCCACTGTCGATCTGAAGAACCCAAAGACATACCTTCCCCTCCGCACCTTTTCCTGTCTTCCCCTATTTCATGCCACAGCTCTTTTCACTGGGATTTACTACAGTACTGGCCTTTCTGCCTCTTTTTGTCTTTCACGCAAGTTCTCAGCTTCGCGTTTCTCAGCACAGCTTGTCGAATGCGGCGCCACCCGGATGCTCTACGTCGGAGAGCTGTGCAGGTACCTGATCGCAGCTCCCGAATCCCCTTGCGACCGAGCGCATAAATGCGTTACAGCCATGGGCAACGGGCTGCATCGAGATGTCTGGTTGCAGTTCACGAAACGATTCGGCATCCCTGAGATTCGGGAGATTTATCGCTCAACTGAAGGCATCGCCAAGTTTGATAACGTGGCACGCACAACCCGCAGCCGCGGGCATGGTTGGCTTCGCTGGGCCTCTCAAGCTATACGCCGAAGACGACACCTTCCTCGTCAAGTATGATGCCACCACCGAGGAGCCTTACAGGGACCCCAAGACCGGATTCTGCGTACGAGCCGAGGCCGATGAGCCTGGCGAGGCCATTGGTCGCGTGCGGTCAATGGATTTCCTCAATGACTACCACGGCGACAAGGCGGCCACGGATCTGAAGCTGATTTCCAACGTCTTTGAAAAGGGTGATGTCTTCCAGAGGACTGGAGACTTGCTTGTAAGACAAAGTACAGGTTGGGTACGCTTTCACGACCGCTCTGGCGACACGTTTAGGTGGCGTGGCGAAAATGTCAGCGCCAGCGAGGTTCGTGAGCACATTGGCAAGCTTGAGGGTGTCCAAGACACTTCTGTTTACGCCGTGAAGCTCCCCGGGTGAGTAAAGTAGGCCAATACCTGATGACATTTGCTAATTCGTGAAGATATGACGGCCAGGCTGGAGCGGCCTCGATCACCTTGAATGATCCTTCTCAAGAATCCGAGTTTGTGAAGTCTCTCTACAGCGACCTCCGAGCCAGCGGTCTTGCCCTTTACCAGATGCCGAGGCTTGTTCGGTTTCGCGCTTCGTGAGACACACCGCACCCGATTGTTGGATTTCATGCTGACAACCATTGCTAGGATTGAGACAACTGCTACCTTTAAGAAGTCTACTGGGGCGTTGAAAGGCCTCTCCTGGAATCCGTCCGAAGATCAACCAGACAATGTCTACTGGCTCAATGGTGATAGATTCAGCAAGATTGATATGACTGCGTGGGGTGAAATAGAAGCAGGGCGGGCGAAGCTATGAACATACCCTCCTTTGCTTTATGTAGTGTCCTTCGGCGTTGAGGGCTGTAGTCATATTCACTGGTGTCTTAAGTCAGTTTAGCTGTTGTATACAGGTACTCAGGAAGGAATTTGGTGTTTTGCAATGGAAGCCGTAAGTTCATGGTGTCGCGAATTATCGGCATCGAGCAATCAGAGAGGCTGAAAGCATGATGATCTGCCCGCTCACAGACTTT